TATTTTGGTTTAGTTTGGCTGTGTTTTATCAACTGTAAGGACCATCTTTACAACTAGCTCAGATTTAGATGTCTGAAATCAGACAAGAATTTTGTTAGAGCTGAATCTGTCTTTGTTTTGTTGGACTATGTGGAAAAATCAACCTTTAACTCAGCTGGTAGAAAGTGGAAACACATTGTAGGCTCTCATATCAGCCTCTTTTCTTCCAGCAGCAGCACTTCTTTGATGATGAGGACAGAACAGTTCCAAGCACACCAACTCTTGTAGTTCCACATCGGACTGATGGATTTGCAGAAGCCATTCAGTAAGTAGATTAAATTTAAAAAAAAGCTTTTCTTTATTCTGTTTTTCAGTGGAATGAAAATAAATTCAAATTAAATGAACTTGTGATTGGCTAAAACATGCTAATAGTATGATAGAAAGTCATTGTTTGGATTGGATTGTGTGTCATAGAACTGATCATCAAATTAGGAGGTGGATAATCTCCAGCATATTAAGTGTATTAAGTCAGTAATTTAGTGACTTAAGAAGAGATTAAACAAAAGAAAGTTCCATCTAATTTCCTTCCTCAGTCTTCTCCCCTCCCCATTAATGCTACCAATAAAAGTAGGAAAAGTTACCTCCGTTTTTGATTTTGGGATGTTCTGGACACATTCAGGAATCCAGTTAAAATTGTGAGACTTCATAGGATGGATATGTAAAGAATATTCTCTTCAGGACTGTTCTGATTTTGGATGCATTCCAAGTAATTTCAGAAGCTGACTGTTATTCATTTAGCAGTAGTTAGCTGGTTTTTATGGGCAGGAAGAATTCATTTTCTCTCATGCATAATTTGCTCTCTTGGTTTGGTCAGAAAGTTGTCTTCCCCTCTGCCCTGATCACTGGGGAAGTTGCAGAATTCCTTAAATGTTTCTTTTGGCAGCTCCCCCCAGGTGGCTGGAGTTCCTCGGTTCAGGTTTGGACCCCCTGAAGATATGCCCCAGACCAGCTCCAGTCACTCGGATCTGGGTCAGCTTGCATCCCAAGGAGGTAAACCAGCTCTGGGCTTCCTTTTCCATGGATCTTGGAGGGAAAAAGATATAATTCAGTCAAAAAACCCACAGTTCTACCTCGGGAAATTGTTCAAGTGTGGAAACCAGCAACTCTTAAATAATTGTCAGCAGAGGGAGACTTAACAGGAAGTGAAAAGAAGTTTCCTTCAAGCTGCAAAATTTCTACTTGTATTACGATTTTAAAATGAAATGAAATATTGAAGGAATGGGCTTTAACTTTAATCTTGGTTGTAGCTTTCCTGTACTAAAAGAACAGGGGAAAACAGCAAAAGCAAAGCAATCTTTGGGATATATCCTCACCTGCTGAAGTGTCCAGGCAATGTGTCTGTTGTCCTTGTCCCGATTCAGTCCCTTTCCTCTGTTCCTGTTGACATGGCACATACACTGCTCCTTGAAGAAAGCTCATGCAAAATGATGGCATAAGAACAGGATGAAAGTAAAACAAAAATCAGTAATATTTTCCTCAAGGTTTTACCTTTCCATAAAATATAATCAGCTCTGACATTAAGTCAATAAAACTTTTAAAATCTCCGTATGTAAGGACGAATTGCTGGATTTCATCAGCTGTACGGGGGAAGCCGTCAATTCATCTGGGTTTTAGCTGGTTGTTTTGGTGATTGTCACTGACCCCCTGTGTTGCAGGTTTAGGGATGTATGAAACCCCACTGTTCCTTGCTCACGAGGAGGAGTCTGGGGGCCGCAGCGTCCCCACAACCCCCTTACAAGTAGCAGCACCAGGTGAGTGGCAGGAGGTTTGCAGAGCCAAGGAGAGGCTGCAAACCTCGACTGCCCAGCAGATACCGCAGTTCCAGTAGTCCTGGAAGTGTTCCCGTGGGCTGTGAGCAGGGCAGGGGTCTCACAGGCTGTGTCTCCCCGAGCAGTGACGGTGTTCACGGAGAGCGCCTCGGCCGACGCGTCAGAACACGCGTCCCAGTCCGTGCCCATGGTCACCACGTCCACCGGCAGCCTGTCCACCACCACCGAGCCTGGCGCTGCAGATGATGGGGACGAGGTGTTTGCAGAGGCAGAATCTGAAGGGTGAGCTACAACTCGTTTGTTCACCAGCACTTATGACATGTTTGTGGTGATGATTTGCCTGTGGGTCACTGTCAGTTTAACCTGTTCTGGTAGGAAGGGCAGCTCAAGCAGCATTCAGTAATCTCTGAAGCAGTAGAATCTGACCTTTTCATCCAAAACCAAAGGTTTTCTTCTGATTTTCTCCTGATTTAACAAAGCTCATATAAAAGTCACAAAAATAAAATTAAAAAAAATATATTTCTATATTTTTTTAAGAATGCAGAGGGATCTGCAGTGTTCAAAACTGATGGTAAAGGGCCAAGCTGAAGGATCAGGGTTTGCTGAATAAAGGCTGAAGCATTCCTGTATAATACAGAAAATCACTCCTCATTCAAAGCACAGATATATGATGAAGTCAGTTAAGACAGTGCAGGTACAAAAATGTAGCAATGGGGGGAATACAAATTTTATAGACAAATGATTTTGTCCTCCATTTTATGAGTGCAGTTTTTAATATTTCCAGTAATTACTGTGTTTTGTATTATGATCAAATGCATTACAGATCTAAAAGGGGACAGTTTCTCATTTTATACCATATTTTACTTTTGATTTTCATTGAATCCTTGTGTTCCAAGACAATCCTTTTTTTCTCCAAGAGAGTGCCTTTTTTTTGCTGAGCATTTTGAAACTCTGTGAATACACTTGAATTGTTTTCCTCCCCCTCCTTCTCTCCTAGCATTACTTCAGAAGCAGGTCTAGAAATTGATAGCCAGCAAGAAGAAGAATCTGTCCAGGCATCTGATGAGTCAGATCTTCCTTCAACTAGTCAGGATCCTCCTTCGAGTTCATCTGCAGGTACAGCATAATTGTTGGGAAGAGCTGTTTTGTTCCCAGGTGTGGGAGCCTCTCTGTGCAGCAGCAGGGTTGGTAGCCAAGATACACAAAGGAAGATAAAGCTCTTGGAATCACAGGCTCCTGCAATGATTGGGGTTGGAAGGGATCTGAAAACCCTTCCAGTTCCCGTGGGCAAGGACAACTTCCATCAGACCAGATTGCTCCAAGGACACTCCCAGGGATCCAGGGGCAGCCACAGCTTCTCTGGGCACCCTGTGCCAGGGCCTGCCCACCCTCCCAGGGAACAATCCCTTCCCAGTATCCCACCCAACCCTGCCCTGTGGCAGTGGGAAGCCAGTCCCCTTGTCTCCCCAGGCCCATGTCCAGAGTCTCTCTCCAGCTCTCCTGGAGCCCCTTTAGGCACTGGAAGGAGCTGTAAGGTCTCCCTGAATTCTCTTGGAGCAGGATCATGCTTTGATGCCTATAAATTCTGTACTTTGGCAGAGCAGTTTTCCCTGGACTGCAGTACCTGGAGTAGGCCAAGTAAGAATAACGCTTCAGGGAGCAGAAGTTACTGATGCTTTGCTGATTTATCCACTGCTATGTTTGATGTCAGCTTTAAAACTATTTTTCCTTCAATTAAAAAAGTAAAGTAAATGATGGAGTTACCAATTTACCCCCTAGCACAGGTAACAAAAGAAGTCCCAAACTTACTTGTCTTCATGCTTTTATTTGTATCGGAGGACGTGTCAATGAAATGAGGAGGCGCCTTCATAATTCTAATGTAAATTAGAGAGCGTAGCTCCTCTCAAACCACATAAACATTGAGAGCCCACCAGGCACAGACCTCCTTTCTGCATCCCCCCTCTCCACAGACACGAGCAGCACCCAGCCCAAGTCCCTGCGCCGCGTGCGGCTGCAGCCCCCCACGCTGAGGACGGGGGTCCGAGGGCGCCAGTTCAACAGGCAGAGGGGTAAGTGCCTCTGGGGCCCCACGCGCTCTTAGGGCTTCCTTGCTGTGGCACCATCTGCAGCACTGCTGTCTGGGCTGTGTTTGTGACACACTGAACCGTGCCCTGCCCTGGCTTCTGGGACGGGACCCTCAGAGCTCTCGTTTGCTTGGAATGTCCGAGCAGTTTTTAGACAGGCAAATAAATAAACTTTCTTCTTCTCTGGAGTTTGGTTCTTAGCAGTGCAGAGAAAGGAAAGGACAAACTTCCAGGCTTTTAGAGAAGGTTTCAAAAATCTCGTTAGGACAGAAGTCTGGAAATCTTTGGGTTTAGTTACAGAGCGGGTCCCATTTGGTACATCAAGAGTTCCAGTTATGACCTCACTGTGTCCTATACTGATTAAAAACAAAGCTTCTGGAAGTATCAAGGATTTTTATAGTGCAAAATAGAGCTCAACCACAACAACACATTCTTGTTTGCAACTTCTGTATTAAGAAAATCCTTAGATGAATTGTATTCCATTTGTCATTATTTTAACATTGGAGAAGACTCAATTTCAGCATTGAAATATAGTTTAGCTGGTATTTTAAAGGAAAAAAAGTGAGGAGGTGGGCCTAGGATAGATTTTCTTTCATCTGTCACCGTAATTTTAATAACAACACCAACACTAGCTGATTTCAGATGTGCTAAGAATGCTCTGCTGGTTCTTTCAGCACCCAGCACAGGATAGTCACACACCCTCCCCTTTAACATGACAAAGTGACATGTGTGTCACCAGGCTCAGGGGAGAGGGGGACGTGAACTCAGTCAGAAGGGATCTGCTGCTCTGCAGTGGCAGTTCCTTACGGGAGCATGAGTTGTCACAACGGCTCATGAACTATAAATCCTGTCATTCCTTTAATGTATTTGTTTTCACTTTCTTTCCCAACACAGGTGTGACTCACGCCATGGGAGGCAGAGGAGGCCTGAACAGAGGAAACATTAGTTAAGTGACCTGTAAAGTAATTCCAGATGTGTATACAAAGTGCCAGTTTGCCTGTGGTTGCTTTAGTGTAATGAAGCCAGAGCTTAAAGCAGCATTTCATACTTAGAGTTGTGTGCACACATTTCATTGTCTTTTATTAATAAAATTAGAAAAAATGTTGACATTCAAATGGCATCTCTCTTTTAAAACCCTCTGCCGTGCATCACTTGCTGGGACAGTTGTACCAGTCTTTGGATACAGTCTTTCCTGTGAGAGCAGTAACAGGTCTTGCTATTCTTTTGCCAATATCCAAACTGTAGTACCGATCTGGAAGGAAGAGAGGTCAGGGTTAAAATCCTGAAACTACACTTAATACATGGCAAGAATCCAGAAATGAAAGCCTGCGTTTTAGTGGCATTTAGGCCTGAATAACAGATTTTTCATTCCACATGCATGTATGGAGTGGGGAGGCTCTAACAATAAACTTCTGCCCTCGGCTTTATTTTGTACAAGTCCTTGGTTGTGTTGAGCTTTACAGTACTGCTAATAATTCTGTCCCAAGAACAGGAGTAGGGAAGAATACTTTTGTACTGGTGGAGCACAGAAATAGTCTCGAGAATTTGGAAATCAAACAAGCTAAAAACAAAACAATCCTGCACTGGCTGCAGAAGTGGGAACTCTGCGGTCCCCAAGCGTGAATGAGTGTTAAGGTGAGGAATTGGATCATCCTGACAGGGACTTCTCTTGATTACAGGCAACATTTGAATTCTCAGGACTGTTTAGTAGTGCTGAAAATCAGTCTTGTAGAACCACAATTAATAGCATGGGCTTCCTCCTCATCCCTGTGTCTTTTGAGATCATCACCAAGGTGCTTTAGCTTGAACTTACTGTAAGAGAAGGCATAGTAATCGTAGCCATCGGGCTTGTTGTGGTTGGGGATGGAAAGAGTTGAGTGGATAACTTTGGGGAGGCCTCTCCAGTAGGTTGTCATTTGGATTTCCTTTCGCAGAACTCCTGCAAGCAAAAGAAACCCTCAGTGAGGAGGTGTCAGTGTGTGCTGTAGGTGCCTGTGCTTGTCCTCCAGAGCAGCAGCCACTGCATTAAACACGTCTAAAAATACTGCATTTTACAAAGGTGAAACAGAGCCTTGTTTCAGAACCTCCTCAGGGTGCAGCACTGTTTAACACACCCTTAATAAGCCTGAGTTACCAGAGGGGTGCGGGTTGACTCTGACGGTCCGGATGATGGTCGGCATTCTCACGGCACGCTGGAAGCGCCTCCGGATGACAACTCTTGGCACAAAAGCTGGGTATCTGATGGTGATCCGTGCTCTCCTCTGACACTTCTTGGCTGGTTCTTGTCTGTACACGTACTGCTGCATGTTCCCATCTGAAGGAGGCATTTGTTTCCATTAGTTTAAAAAACATCACTGATCAGATATGAAGGTGTCATTGATATCCATCTTACATGCACAAAATCGATACCAAATAATGTTCTTATGGTGGCAGTACAGCATTCGTATACAAGAAGGAAATGACATTAATTTAAAAAACAAATTAAGGAACAGGGACATTTCCATACATAGTTATGAACTAGTAAGATTAAAGTCTCCCCTCCTCTAATTAATTTGAGACTAAAACAGTTTTACCACCAGGTAAAACTTATTTTGATATTTGGCCACTGCAGTACTGGATTCTCTCCTGTACAGACCTGTTTTAAAATGCACTGAAAGACCTGTAAGTATTAAGAAATATTTTTAAATCTTTAGGCTATTTTTGACCACCTGGAACACTGACATCACTTATGTTTATGGTTTTGAAAGAAACTGATCTTTGAGTCAAGAGAAATGGTGTTTTATTCCTGACTAAGGTAATTCAAGCACCTTTTGATGATGCCTGGACTTCAGAAATAGGAGACATACCTCTCTTGATGAAATAAACAGATTCGGGTCTGTTGTTGTATCTTGCCACGGGTAGGGTTGCTACTATTTTCCCACTTAGCCCTGCAAATCCATTGGCAAGAGGTTTGGGATAGCCTGGATCCATAACTCCATTAGTGAAACGCCAGTACAGGGGGCCCTGAGGATTCAAGGGGGAAATGAGCTTTAGAGGAAATTATTCTGTTATTGAACTTCAACACAAACCTGAAGAATAATCCATAAATAAACAGTAGGACTTTGATAGGTACACTGTAAATCTGACTGGAATCACTCCTGGATCCATTACAAACTCCCTGTCAGTTGCAGAGCCCCCCTGTCTCCAGGCTGAGCCCCACAGCTGCTCCTCATCATCCCGGGCCGCGCCCACCTTGATGAAGAAGGTCTTGCCATCGCAGTTGCACCTGGAGAAGACGGAGTCGATCGGGGAGGGGATGCCCCAGCCCTCGGTGATGCGGCGGGGGTTGGTGCTGGGCGGGCTGCGGCCGTTCAGCAGCCAGTAGTAGTGACCTGGGGGGGAGAGGCGTCAGGGGCGGCGGGCACAGCGTGGGGACATCGCCGTCCTGCCCCGGGGCCATCGCCGTCCTGCCCCGGGCACAGCGCGGGGCCATCGCCGTCCTGCCCCGGGGCCATCGCCGTCCTGCCCCGGGCACAGCGCGGGGCCATCGCCGTCCTGCCCCGGGCACAGCGCGGGGCCATCGCCGTCCTGCCCCGGTGCCATCGCCGGGCACAGCGGCTGGGGCGGCCCCGGGCACGGCGGCTCCGTGAGGGGCGGGGCGCGCGCTGGGCACGGGCCAGTGCCGTGAGGGGCTCGAGCCGGGACGGGTGAGGGAGGAGGAGGAGAAGGAGGAGGATGAGGAGGAGGAATGGGCACGGACAGGTGAGGGAGGAGGAGGAACGGGCACGGACAGGTGAGGGAGGAGGAGGAGGATGAGGAGGAACGGGCACGAACAGGTGAGCGAGGAGGAGGAACGGGCACGGACAGGTGAGCGAGGAGGAGGAACGGGCACGGACAGGTGAGCGAGGAGGAGGAGGCCTGGGGAAGGTAGGGGAGGAGAAAGAAGAGGAATGGGACAGGGGCAGGGACAGGTGAGGGAAGAGGATGAGGGACGGGGCAGGTGATGGAGGAAGAAGAAGGATGGGGCAGGAGCAGGGGCAGGTGAGGGAGAAGAAGGAAGGGGGACAGGGCAGGGGAGGAAGGAGGAGAAGGAAGAAGAAGAGGCACTGGGACGGGGCAGGAGCATGGGGAGGAGGAAAGGGGGCAGGTGAAGGAGGAGGAGCAGGAGGAAGAGGGATGGGGATGCTGAGGGAAGAGGAGGTCAGGGCAGCCTCACCTCGGAAGACGGCCAGGGTGCCGTTGGGCAGGGCCACCATGCTGTCCGCCGGCCTCCCGCTGCACAGATCCTTCTCGTCGTCCTTCCTCCCTGCGAGACACAGCCAGGTCAGTTTGTTCAGTGTTCACCAAGAATTGCATTAATTTTACCACTTACCCCCACCAGAGCCAGGGTTTAATCGCTGCCTGGAGGTGTGTTCTGGGACAGTTTGGCTCTCGCGTCGTGGCCGCAGCGGTGCTGAGTGCCCGCGTGTGGTGTCTTGGCTTATTGCCACCCGCGTACCCGTAACTCAGACAAATACCTCCCACAGCCCTCACGTCACTTCCCATGCTCCAGGATTTTATTTGATGTTTCCCAAAGGTGCCCCAGTGAGTTCCCTTCCCTCTCCTTATTTCTTAAAAAAAAAGCATTTACATTTACTTTCGTTTAAATATAAAGGAAGGATGAGCCCTTTTTGACAGAAATCCAAGTATTTTCCCATCTAAAACACGTTTTTCTGCCCTCCAAAATATCTTCACATATATGATTGGAAAAAATGCCCAAGAACATGCAGCTATATCTGATTAAAATAAATAGTGAGGGCATGAAAAATGTTGTGGTAAAAAGCACAGAGGGAAGAGAATACAAGGAAAAAACACCCTGTCTGGTTTATGTCTTACATGTTTTGGATATAGCTGCAGAATGCTAGGTTAGGTTCCATTATCAGTGGATATTCAGCCTGACTCCCAAGGTTTCCATGGGATTTAGAAATTTATTACCTTTTTCCTTGACTTTTTCTCTGTTTGCATCTGCTATAGTACTTACAGCAAATGTTTTTCAGCAGGGCCAGTTACTGAAATCAATTAATTTAGACGATGTTCTAAACTACCCAGAGAACTGATTGAGCTGAGGTTCCCACACGCAGGACAGTGGCAGCTGTAGTGCCGTGCTTGTGGCTGGGCACTGGGACAGTGCCATGTCCTGGGGAGTTACTGGTGATTTGTGCCTGCTGGAGTGCAATTACCTTGTGTTTCTCCAGGTAACATTGGCAGGTCCCCAATTGGTATTAAAGGCTTGTTTATCTCGGGTTCTTTCACTGGCAGGGTTTCGGGATCAGTTGGGTGAGGCTCCTCTCTGCTCTCAGTGACCTCCTGGAAATGTATTGTGGGCTTGGATGTGCCGTTAGAAACAAGATACATTTCTTCAATTGTGTCTTTTTTATCCCTGGTAGTGGTTTCTTTGGCAACTGTAGTTACCTCTGCTTTGTCAGCACCAGGGGCCTTTTCAGTGACCTGTCCCAGTTCTCTGGCAGGTGTGGTGCTCACTTCTTTGGGGGTCGTCATCTCTTTTTTGCCAGCTGTTGCCATCACCACCACACAAGCAGCACCCGTGCTCTCTGTAGCTGCTGCAGCCTGCTCCGTTTCTGTGCTTGTCTCTTTTTCACTGGGTGTTACAACCTTGCTGGGTTCAGGAGTTGACTCTGCTTTGGTGGCTGTGGGCTTGGCCAAGGGAGCTGTGGCTGCTGTCGTTGCTTCTGATGCAGCTGCTGCTGTGACAGGTTGCTTGGCCGCATCTGGAGTGTCATCCATACCTTTGGGAGAGTCACCTGGCTTAGCTGTTGTCACCACAGCCACAGTAGCTGTGTCTTTCCCAATTGCTGCTGTTAAAATGTCTTTAAGCAGAGTAGTTCTGTCTTTCTTGGGCGTCGTCACCTCCTTGATCTCGGCTGTGGTATCTGAAAGCATCGTGTCCGCTCCAGGTGTGGGGGTGTCCTTCCCAGGGGCAGCGGCTGCAGCGCTGCTGGGAGCTGCTGTGTCCTCAGCAGCAGTTGAGGCTGAGCCAGGGGCAGTGGCTGTCACTGCAGCAGGGCTTGTTGTCTGCACCACGGTGGTGTCAGCCTTGGGGGCTGCGGGGGTGGTCAGAGAGACTGGCTCCTCTCTTTTAGGGGTGGAGGGAGAGTCTACCTTTGTCGTTGGCTCCTCTGGAGTTGTCTCTTTAGGTTTGGGGGTAGTAGGAGAGTCTGCCTTGGTTGTTGGCTCCTCTGCAGTTGTCTCTTCAGGTTTGGGAGTGGTAGGAGAGTCTGCCTTGGTTGTTGGCTCCTCTGGAGTTGTCTCTTTAGGTTTAGGGGTGGTAGGAGAGTCTGCCTTGGTTGTTGGCTCCTCTGGAGTTGTCTCTTTAGGTTTAGGGGTGGTAGGAGAGACTGCCTTGGTTGTGGTATCCTCTGGAGTTGTCTCTTCGGGTTTGGGACTGGTGGGAGAGTCTGTCTTGGTTGTGGCATCCTCTGGAGTTGTCCCCTCAGGTTTTGGGGTGGTGGGAAAGACTGCCTTGGTTGTTGGCTCCTCTGGGGTTGTCTCTTTAGGTTTAGGGGTGGTAGGAGAGTCTGCCTTGGTCGTTGCCTCCTCTGGGGTCGTCTCTTCAGGTTTGAGGGTGGTAGGAGAGTCTGCCTTGGTTGTGACTTCCTCTGGAATCATCTCTGGTTTTAGGGTGGTGGGAGATTCAGCCTCAGTTGTTGGTGCCTCTGGGGTTGTCTCTTCAGGTTTGGGAGTGGTGGGGGAGTCTGCCTTGGTTGTGGCTTCCTCTGGAGTTGTCTCCTCAGGTTTTGGGGTGGTGGGAGATTCAGCCTCAGTTGTTGGAGCCTCGGTGGCTTCTGGAGTTGCCTCTTCGGGTTTGGGAGTGGTCGGAGATTCAGCCTCAGTTGTTGGTGCCTCTGGGGTTGTCTCCTCAGGTTTGGGAGTGGTGGGGGAGTCTGCCTTGGTTGTTGATTCCTCTGGAATCATCTCCTCAGCTTTTGGGGTGGTAGGTGATTCAGCCTCAGTTGTTGGTGCCTCAGTGGCCTCAGGGGTTGTGTCTTCAGGTTTTGGGGTGGTGGGAGATTCAGCCTCAGTTGTTGGAGCCTCAGTGGCTTCTGGAGTTGTCTCCTCAGGTTTGGGGTGGTGGGAGATTCAGCCTCAGTTGTTGGAGCCTCAGTGGCCTCAGGGGTTGTCTCCTCAGGGGTTGTCTCCTCAGGTTTTTGGGTGGTGGGAGATTCAGCCTCAGTTGTTGGAGCCTCAGTGGCTTCTGGAGTTGTCTCCTCAGGTTTTAGGGTCGTGGGAGATTCAGCCTCAGTTGTTGGAGCCTCAGTGGCTTCTGGAGTTGTCTCCTCAGGTTTTGGGGTGGTAGGGGATCCAGCCTCAGTTGTTGGAGCCTCAGTGGCCTCAGGGGTTGTGTCTTCAGGGGTTGTGTCCTCAGGTTTTGGGAGTGGTGGGAGATTCAACCTCAGTTGTTGGAGCCTCAGTGGCCTCAGGGGTTGTCTCCTCAGGTTTTGGGGTGGTGGGAGATTCAGCCTCAGTTGTTGGAGCCTCAGTGGCCTCAGGGGTTGTGTCCTCTGTTGGGGGGATGTTGGTAGAGTCCTCTTCAGTCACTGGTTCCTCTGTGGCATCCGGGGTCACATCTTCGGGCTTCTCTGTGCTGGGCAGGTCTTCAGTGGCTGGTTCCTCTGTGGCCTCAGGGGTGGTGTGGGCTCCCTGTGTTGTGGTGGGTGGCTCTGGCTGGGTCGTTGGTTCCTCTGTGGCCTCAGGGGTGGTGTCATCTCCCTGTGTCGTGGTGGGTGGCTCTGACTGGGTCGCCGCTGGCTCTGTGGCTGCAGGGGTTGTCTCTGCTGCCTCTGTAGTTGGAGCAGGAGTGGTCTCTGGGTTTTCCAGTCCAGTGCCAGGATCTGTAGGACGAACACAAATGAGTTTCAGCCCCTGGAAGTGCTGTGCATGTGGCTGTGGTACATAAATGCATTGCACATCTGGCAATAGGTAGTGTTGTTGGATAAGTATATTTTTTAGGAGGGCAGAGCTCCCCTGGGCCGGGTTCCACGTGAGGCCCTGTGGTCCCTGGACACTCTGCATCCGCCTGGCTCAGTTTAATTTTCTCTTTGCTAAGCTGTGGCTGCCCTGGGGGCAGCGCTGCAGGGTTTGGTTTGGTGCTCCTCACTGAGCCTGCCTGGGGGTTCCTGCCTTCTCCATGCTATGAAAGACAGTTCTTCTAACAGGGCACTGCCCTTCTCAATCTGTTATTTTGATTTATTCCACTGCCCTTCAGTATAACTGAGTGTGCACCGATGAGCTGAACTTGCAGGAGGGAGATTGGGAAACAGGAGGAAAATAATTCCTGAATACAAAGCCCTGACTGCGTCTCCTACTGTATCTTTATATCTTGGATGGTTTTCCTCTTTGTGATTTATGGCTTTATGTGTTTCTGCATTTCAATCTTTAAGTATTCTGTCTCTGAAGTTTTGCTGTTTAGCTCTGTTTTCACACAGGTTTTGTGTCTGGTCTGAGCACAGCATTACAGAACAGGTTTTACTCCCACCCAGGAGGTCTGAAATACCATAACCCAATTGGGATCCTGCTAATGGTCATATGAATTTCCTTAATTTTGTTTCATTTAACCCAGTATATTGATTTTTTTTTTTAAATAGAAAATTGCAACAGCAGAAAGATAAGTACTCCAAATTTAAAACAATTAAAAAAACAAAAAGGGGCGTGTCTAAAAATATTGGCCAGCTAGTACTGATTTTAGTCTCATTTCATTCTTGTTACTTAAAGTTTCAAGTTCAAACTGATCTCCTGAGTTATCACTTCAAGTGCTGGAACACAATACCAAAGAACACAGCAAAGCAACATATTTTCCAGTCAGAAAACCCAAATCATGTGTTCTCTGAAATTGCATAAGACCTGGCTTGATTAAAGCTAGGGAAACCTGCTAGGACATTTTCCTGCCTTGGTCCTGGCAGTTCATCACTGTCCCAAAATACAACACCCTTCCTGTCCCAGCCATGGCCCTTGTCCAAACCTGACAATGGTCTGTTACATATTTTGGGAAGATGTGTGTGAAAATCCATCAGAGGCACCGGAGACATCACCGCACTGCACCGTCTGTGCTGAGCCAACTCTGCCAAGTCCTGAGGGCTGGCTGAGGTAATTGGTTTAGAAACCCAGTGGTTCCAAGCTTGGTAACTGTCTGGTAATGTCTAGGACTGGCTTCCTATTTCCAGAGCAGGGAAATGGTCTTTAATGTTGCTTTAGGTGACACCCATCCTGTCTCACCCGTGTACTTGCCTACCTTCCACGGCTTCCTCTGGTGGCTTCTCCTCATCGGTGGATGACCTTTTAGATGTTGATTTGTTTTCTGGGGGCGTCTCCGGGCTTGGCTTTTCTGTGTGTGCTGAAAGAGATAAATACTCCCATTAGCAGACTGTGGAGTGGTGGAGGGGAATGTTTTGGTTAGTCCTTAGCTGGGCACGTGTGTATCCAGGGAATAAGGGGCTTCTGGAGGGTGGGGAAGGTAATGGTGATATCTAGATAGATGATGTACACTTGGCTTTGCTGTACAGAACGGAATGTTCAGAAGCTGCTGAAACAGCAAATTTATTCCAAGAGGTTTACCAGATTTCTCAGTTATTCACACATAATATAAATACTAAAATATTGAGTACAGTGGTAGGCTACCTATGAGGATTTTTGTTGTTTTTTGTTTGTTTGTTTGTTTTCAAAAATTATATACTGGAGCTTAATAAAATACAGAAGAAACTCTCTAAGTTTAGGAACAGTTGATTAATTTTTCATTATACTTGAACTGAAGAAAAGCGAAATTATTTGATAATCTTTTGTGAGAGTTTGGGTGTGTTAAACTCGGCAGAAAGAGGGAGACATTAAACAACCTCAAAGGCAGCAAATTCACCCCAAGGCACTTCCAGGACACTCATTGTCCTCCAGACATCCAGTCAAAAACGCTGACTACAGGCTCTCTTTCAGTCTAGATGGCTGTGTAACTGCCTGGCAAGGCCCAGCCACTGCCCCAGGGCCTGGGGACAGGGAGTGGTGGGTGCAGGCACCGAATGCTAATCCCTGACTCCTGCTGTTTGTCACACTGCAGGCTCTGGGAATTGGCTGGTCTGGGAATGCAGCGCCCCAGTGCCAGGCCATCTGTGCCCAGTGTGCTCACAGAAGTGGATCCGGGTCTGTAGGCACACCTAAGTTTAAGGACATGATGAAATGAAACAGCTTCATGTCTTGGTGATGGCTTCCAGCATATCTACCTGTATGTGTCCATAGTGTGTCCATGCTTGAGAATCTGGCCAATCTATTTGTGAAATTAGATTTTAATATTTTTTCAGGGTTTTTTTTTTTATTACCCTTCAGTTCTCATGTCTCAAGAAGCCCGCGGAGTTTGTTTTCTGAGAAAGCAAAGCACTTCTGTTTAAGGATGTCTTTGCAAAAGGCAGTGAAGAAGCAGTCTCTCACCCTCCTTGCAGTGCTTGGCGTAGTCCGGGCAGCATTTGCCGTAGCGCTCGCAGTCGGCATCGCAGTCGCACTCTCTTCCTCTCTCGAAGGCCTCGAAGCACCGTCCTTCGCAGGAGAGTCCTGCACGAGCACAGCAGCAGAGTCAGCCTGTGAACTTAGCACCTTCCCACGGGACGGTGTAAAGGAGGGCCCTGGAAAATCAGGTGCTTATTCTGCTCTGCCCCAGGGTTTGTGGGTGGAACTGTGGGGTTGGGATGGGGCCGTGCAGCCAGAGCTGCGCTGTCACATTGCAGTGGATTGAAATCATTCACGTTTGTGGTGGAACAGAACGTGATCCCCACCTTCACTTCAACCAGGTTCCCATTCCCTCCCCAGGGAGCAGTGACCTCAGGGATGATAGATAAATTCTGGGCTGGCTTTGCAAAAACGTCTTCATTAAAGGACCTCTTTGCATCAAGAGTGATGTGTCTATCAAGGCATTTCTGAAAAAAAATTGACCTAATGAGGTCACAGCCAAGTGTACCTGGTGTGTCTGGCCAAATACGCAGCTTAATTGTGGGAATGGGGTAACTAAGTTACCCAGAGCGACTAGAACTGTTTAATGCAGTTCTTAAATTATTAATAGTAAAGGAGTATCTACCACGTTTTGACATGATTAATACCCACACGGGTTTAAATTTTTATTATTGGTTAACTTCTGACAACTTTGGTCACTACAGTGCTTCTATTGCCTATCAAATAATGACCAGATTGTTTTGGAAAGAGTGTGCACAGCTATCACAGCCCTCAGAAAAAGTGCTTTCTGTACAGAAGTCTCTGTTGAAGTCACTGTCTCTGTGACACCCAGGGCATAAAAGCATGTTTTACGATTAAATCACTACCCAGTAAAATGAGGATTACTGTGTAGGCAGACTCTGAGCATCTTTTGATTACTGTAGATCAGTCTGTTGATGCCTGTGGATTCATCCCACATTCACAGGTAAGAACTGTTGTTATTTTATGATGTTAGAGCAGTTTTTATTCACAAATGGCATTTCTCTAATTTAGTCAGCACTGATGCCACACTAACTGGACAGCAATCCTTAGTCAGACTGCCTGCCCCTTTCAGGATGACACCTACTGTGCTTGCCTGAACTCACTGATTTAGGGTAGAACAGGGAAGACTTTTAGCCTTAAATATTTGATTAAATGTTATGTAGATGCCAGAACACCTTTAGAATCCGACCCACAATGAATTAATAGCCTACATAATAAAGTGCCTCAGTATGTACTTTCAGCTACAAGAAGTGTTGATGTTCCCTCACAAATCAAAACGAGGATGGGGAGAACTGAAGTGCAAGGTGTTTCCAGTGTGTGTCAGGGCAGCAGAACTGGAATTTTAGGGAGTGCTGTGTCTGCATTTTGAACAACACTGGGCCTGTGTTGCTGGATCTGAGAAGTCTTATGTCACCCCTGTAATTCTACTGGAACTACAGTGTAGTGTAACAAACTGCAGTTATCCAAATAACTGATATTTCTGACATTAGTGCTTCCCAAGAAAATGGTTTTTAACTCTCAGGAAACAACAGCTGTCTTTATTTACACTGTATGGGTTTGTAAATAAATAAGGCATAAAGTAATAGTCACTGAACCATCTTTTCCAGCAAACTCTGGACATGGTTCTGATCCAGAGTCAATGTCTGTCCATGGAAGGGCAGCCTCTGGCTTTGGGTTAGACCCTACAGCATCCCCACTTCTTCAGTTTCAGCTGGAATGTGCCAGAATTTCTCCCTGTAAACCCCTGAATTTGCTTTTACCACTTTTTTTTGAGTAAGACAGACAGATACAGTACAAATGCACCAAGGAACAAAAAACGAGCAGTAAACTCTTTCTCCCCCTCTTGCCTAACTCTGCTGCTGTAAAAAGCAAAACCCTTGGCTTGGGAGTAACCTGCAGATACACAACTTCCTTTGGATTGCCAGAGGTTATCCCTGAGTTTGTGAGGGGGAGAACAACACGTGTACGAGAGGGAACAAGGACACAGTGAACTAACAGACATTGAAGCATTCAGAGAGGAGACCTGGTGCGCTGGGGAGCTGGGAGGGGGTTTTGTGAGAGGAACTGGCTGTGTTTGGGAACTTACCCACTGTGCAGACTTTCCTGAAGTCAGGGCAGCACTCCATGTAGTGGTGACAGTTAAAATCACACTGGCAGTCATGCTCTCTAGAGTACCCTGCCCCACATCTCCCTGTACAGCTGGACACATCTAAAATCACACAACACTGGTGTCAGCGTGGCCAAACCCCCGTGGGGCCCGAGGGGAAGCTGCAAAGGAGCAAAGCTGCTCTTTTTCCCTGCACAAGGGGCTCCCTTCCCTCGGCACTGCAGCAGCTCATGAAGGTGTGTGGAGCAGAGCTTTGCTCTGGGGCAGCCTGTGCACCACCAGCAGCATGTGTTGGGTCCAGGGGGGTTCCCTGGGACTGACTGACCCTGCTGCTCCTGAAAGCCAATGAATCCTGGGGGACTGGCTCTGGAGCATGGCCAGGGGCAGCCAAACCAGCCTGTACCTCAGGCAGTACATCAGCCAGGCACTTTGCTGCTTTGCTGACTGATTCTCCATCTTCATTCACCCTGCCTATGGTTGTAGGTGTGAGTGTGCACAGCTCTCCCTGGCACACCCATCAGGGGTCTAATTTTCACTTTTGGTAACGTTCTCCCTAATAACCAGACCTAATCAGGTTAGCCTGCAAGCTGAAGAGCACTGTGATAATAAATACAAATCCCTGGAGCCATTTCAATTGGAAGTTCCAAAATCTGCCTACCCTCTACACCAGTTATTTCTCTGCTGTCAGAGAAGAATTTGGTATCAACGCTGAGGTCAGGAACAGTTAGGATCTAGTCTTGCAGCCTTCTCCAAAGCACTGTCTGTTTGGTAATTAGGAGATTGCTTATCAGCAGGCTAACATAAAGCTCCTCCCATGATGGCTTTGCTGCCAGACTGCTGCACTGCTGAAAAATACTAGATCATAATATATACTGCAGATTAACCTTGGAAAAGCAAGACATCAGGGGGTCTGCTTTCAAACTGTGAGCATTCAAGCTTGGCAGTGCTTTGCTACCTTCTACTGCCAGATATTCACCCTGCAACTAATCCCCTTCCTGTGCAAAACCCCTGCTAATGTAAGATGCTAACAGCTTCTTCTGGAAATGAAACATGCAGGGCCACAGTGCAGAGTCCCTAAATACAAACAAAGAAGCTGAACAATCAGCAAGCTCAAACAGAGTCAAGATAATCACATGAAACATTGAGGAACAACAAGGAAATAACAACAAATAACATGTAACAACACCAAAGACAATTTCTAACAACACAAGCTCCAAAGCTGTGTGTATGAAGGAAGACCACAGGGAAACAAATGATTACATATATTGTGATTTTCAGCAAGTAGTTACAGTGCTTGTTACCACTTCTTTACAAATAGCAAAGTGGGACTAGGGAGTAACTGGAGACATTAACGGACTGGAGTTAATGGGCCCTTAATACAGGAGTTAAAAAGAAGATGGACATTTTCCCTTATGATATGTGCCCTACTAATTGCATCCTTCTTCCCTTATGGAAAGAAAGTCCAAAACATTATACCTCTTCCTTCACTTCTTTAGTTTAGTTTCTAACTTGCAAGGACAGAGTTACTCCAAAGGAAAATGCCAGGATGGTCTGTTGGCTGTTGGTGAGAGCCTGCATGTTTGCTGAAGCCAGTGGGAAGTTCCCATCGATTATCAAGGGTTCAGTGTCAGCCTGCTCTGCTCAGCAGGTCCCACCTGGCACCTGCTGTGCCCTGGGGAGCTGGTCCCACACACAGAATTGTCCCTTCTGCTGTCAAGTATAATAAATTCTTTTCTACCAGCAAGTAATACACAATATTATCCCCATAACAACTCGGTAGCTACCTGAGAACTGCTGAGGACTGGCCAGGCTGCAAGTTCTGCTTCTTCATAACAGTGCAGCTTTAGTAAGAAACCAATTACAGAGCTTGGAGAGTAAATAAAAATCGTATCCTTAGACAAATGATTCCCAAAATTGCCTCAGTGGTGGGAATAACGATGCATTTAATAGCAAAGCACTTAGCAAGGTATGGACATTCCTCTCCCTGAGCCTAATGAAATATTTCTGACAAACTTACATGGATATTGTCATTTTAGATTTTCCTTGAATCACACTGCAAATCACTGGGGCTGAAAATGTCAGTCTGAGGGCAATGGGATCTGCAGAATAAGTCTACAGGAAAGCAAACTGCTCCATCTGCAGTTTGCATTGCATGCGTGTTTTCTGTAGTTCCTCCTAGAAGGAGGACCGTGCTGCACTCCAATTTGTTTATGGAAATATTCACCAGTGACAAAACTGAGTCCTAGTGCCTGGCTGAATAAAGACAAGGTTCTAGAAAGTAGTATTTGATAAGGGTGTTTTTGGAGCATTCTCAGTGTGTGTCAGACATCCTGGAAACCCTCCCTTCAGCTTTGGGTGTTACAGTACCTTGAGAAGACACTCCTTGAATCAAGGGCAGTGAAAGGAGCACCAGGGATATGTAGAGGATGTTCCATCTGATCGTTACTTTCAGGTACGACATCGTTCCTGAAAAGAAAGAAGCTCACATCACTATGTGCAATTCAGTCAGCCCACAGTTAAAAAAGTGTAATACTGCTTTGATAACAACATACATAGCAGAACTGTTCAAGGACTCTTTAATCTATATTGCTCTATAAATTATCGTGATTATTAGTTGATCAGCTGTTAAATTTTGTACTAAGACTATCAAAATTCATTATTAACAAGTAACAGAAGTAATTTTATGCAGAATTTTGTTACGTAAAGGCTGCAGTCAGTCTTCTCCTTCTAACATGGATATACTTCAGCACAAGAATTTGTAAAGTTATAATACCGATAAATATAAATATAAAGGAAAATATAAATATATTATATTTATATTTATATAAAACATAAATATAAATATAAGGAAAAATATTAAACAACATAATTTTATAAACCTTAATCTGTTTTTGAAATATTATTGGTGAGATGTAACAAATGGACACGTAGGCTAAAAGCAAATCTTTCAAAAGGCAAACTTTGGATTTCTGTTTCAGTTCTCCTTTGGAAGGAGAGCTGAGGGTAGAGATCAGTGCAACACTTACCTAACAGAGAGTGTGTCTGCTCCCAGGGATGCTCCAGATGCCTTTTATACTGCTTTGTGACTGTGCTGGGGGTCATTAATTACACACATTAAATCCAACTGCCGATGACAGATTATGACAGTAAACTTTCCACAGGAGCTGGAAGAGGTCCTGGATGACTGGACTAGCACAGCATTTGGAAAATACTCCCATTAAGAAAAACGATTACAGAAAAAACTAAATAGGGACTTACTCGTCAAAACACATTTTGATTACTGAGGGAAGTGAACAAATTGTCCTGGATGCAGCTGGAAGGACTCAGAGGGTATTGCAGAGCAACAAAAAATCATCCCAGGCCAGTGCTGAGGGGATTTTCTTTCCTGTTGCACAGAGCTTAGGTGACAGTAGCCTAAAATTATGCAGCTTTATCTGCTACTGATGGTGTATCTTCTCCAAAAAGCTGTGGGAGCCAGTTCATACAGACAGAAGGAATTCACCAATCCTGCCCTGGCTATGGAGTGCTTTTCCCTGAACTGAAGGGAAATGTTGCCAAGGTGTTGGCTAGAAATCAAAGAGTTTAGTCAAATCTCACATTTATTGACTGTGTGACACATAACACGTCAAAAATGAAGGAAAGAGCCTTAAATTGTTCCAATGGTCTTTGTGTTTGTTGGTTCCAGATCAAGGATATTGGAGGTGGTTATTTGCAACTCTCAGAGCTAAAGGAGGCTTTAATTGAAACCTTTAATGGTCCTGACTCTCGACTTGGGAGGGAAACTGTGTGAGAAACTGCACTAAAGAACTGAGAACTTTGCTATTTCTGTCTTGTGATAGTACTTGAATCCCAAATAGTTCTGTTAGCCCAAAATAAGAAATATGGTATAATATACGTTGCTCCCAGCTGAGGAAAGGAGTTCAAATGGGCAGGGGTCTCTTCAGGAAAATGCAGCAGACACCTCTGAACAGGAGTGGGTTTAGGCACATGCTTGAATGTGTCCCTCTCTTGGCCCAGTGACTGTGCAGCTTTAGGGGTTTTGTGCTAGATTTTCTTTCTGATGTTGCATTACCACAAAAGAGACAGTTTCATTCAGTCTTTCTGCATTGTGTGCTGAATGGAGTACTTTGAGGCTCTGAGATTTCGTGGAGTTTGTTCCAGGCAATACATAAAGGAAATGCATATTCCATGTTTTATAATAAGAGTTTCAGTGGTACCTTTAGTGGAGCTGACTGGAAGCTGGGTAAAGAAACCCAGGTTTGAGAAGAAAGGGGCCTGTCTGTGGGTATTTAAAGCCTGGAGAAGAAGTACTGTTTAGGGGAGCTAAATAGGATCACCATGATGAGACAGCTTCCCCAGAAAAGTACTAAAATGCTTATAACTTGGTTAATCTATAATCTGATAAAGCAAAACATTTATGACTACGTTATTGAGTATATCCTTGCTTTGATATCCATGACATGGAGGAGATTTGTTGTCTCTTCCATCATTCCAGAGCCAGTGCTACTGTGAGTCCCAGGTAACACTGGCTGGCTACCTGAGGTGAACATATCTAAATAAAGTAGTAAATAAATGGTGACAGAAGATCAAAAGTGTTCTGTTAACATGCCAGGACTCAAGTCATCCAAGGACAGTTAGGTCCATACACAACCTGAAATATGGGTAGCCATGACTGGCTGCTCCATTTATTGTGCTATGGATATGCTCATTTTGGTGGGATTGTGTTGTTTCACTTCTCTTGTGAATGACGTTTTTGGGTTGCTAGAGGTGACACGGGGTTGCAAATTTGGAGTGAAAACCATTCCATAAATGGATCAGTGGGGTGTGAGCAGCACTCAAGGCACCTTTACACTGCAGTGCCAGTGGCGTTGAGGGGGTGCCTTTGCAGGCACTGCACAGAGGGTGGTCAGACAGTCAGATGGGGTTGGATCCTGAGCAGCTTCTGCTGCTCTTCCCTTGGTTTGCAGGCGTGGGCTTTGAAATCTTGCTTTAAATTATTGTTATGGGTTCTGGGGGTAGCAAGAGGCACTCGGGGGGCACTCACGCTGAGCACACAGACTGTGCTCACTGCTGCTGTGCCAAGGTGGGTGTGCCAGGCAGAAGGGCCCTGACAGGAACACTGGGGTAGGGGCAGGTGGGGGCAAATCCCAACCATTTGTGGGTTGAGCGCCATCTGAAACAGAGCAATGAAACAGGGAGAGTACAAAGTGTCTCATTTGCTTATTTTGGTTTCGGCCGCGTTGAGGGAAACAGGACTCATTGCATTCCTGAGGACTAAAGAAGGATAAGATAGATTTGTCTTGGAGCAGCACAAGGGACCTGATATTGTGGTTAGTCACGCCAACCAGGAAGAGAGAACCCTATTTTTCATCTCATAAGCTTCAGCTATCTTATCTGTATTTCCCAACTTCAGGAGCTGATTGCAATTTTTAGAAGGAAAGGGTAGAAAAAAAGCCTTTCCTTACAATCCCTGCCCTGTTTATGTTCTGAGATCATCCCAGTTACAGTCCCATTGCTGTTATTTTTGGTTTCTGGACTAACATACCTTAAGTTGAGTCTGACAGAGGCCCTATTGCTTTTTCAGTGCCATCACTGATGCCCACTGTGAACCCATCAGCATCCCCAAAATATCCCCTCATTCTCCTTGCAGTGCTCTGAATCCCTGTGAGGGCCCAGCTGGCTCTGAGATCTGCTGGGGTGTCCCAAAGGGATCCAGAGAAGCTGAGCTGAGGAAAGGGAAGAGAGAAGGCAGCTGGAGTAGTGTTGGCCTTTAGTGAACCTTTATTTCACCTTTAATTTGCAGGAATCAGAGCAGGAATGTAAGTGCAAGTTAAAGGAGAGTGCTGGAAGTGTCACTTAATGAGTTACTAAGAAAAACTGTCAAGAATCATGGAAAATGTTTGCTCTTGCAGGAAGGACTGACACAGTTTCAGGGTTATGGTCTTGAAGGGGCAAGAAAAGAGAATGATGTAGAGGAGGTAGAAGCCCTAATGTGGGAGGGGCATGGGATGGCAGTAAGTTTTTCTGGGACATCTGCTAATTGATCAAAGGATGTTTCCTTGTGTTGCCTTCTACAGTTGGTCTCGTTTTTTCCATGCACAACTGGCTACATTTTATTGGCATATTTTATTGATTGTAACAAAAAAAAAGTTAATTTTGAAGAGCACTTAAATACAGCAACTTTTAAGGCAGAGGAATATTAACACCATCGCTTTCCTTTGATTGATGAGTAGCAGCAGCATTGCAATGAGTTCTGTGGTGGCAAACCTCTGTAATAAGGGTCAGATGCTCCCATGCACCCTCCCGTTGATGTAAATATAGGTTTATTGTATTTACAATCCCTAAAAAGTTCAGAGACTTGTATAATAGCAAGAAGTAGAGAGAAAAATCAGACTCAGGAAATATATTTGTCCTCTCAAAAATACCAGCTGAGCCCATCAGTGGGTGGAGGATGCAGGATAGAACGTGTATGTTTGGGCTATTTTCATGGTACTACCAAAATCAGAGAAATCAGAGAAATGTTTTTTGCTCCAGAAGAGCCTTTGAACTCGGTGCAGCTGCAGGTATTCCTGAGGATCTTGAGGAGCAGGAGGATGTGTGGAACTGGACTTGGCTGAGCCTTGGCCCTATGGCCATCACTTTATTGCTCTCATATTTCTCATGGGCCCTGATGGGTTCCTCTAAGAGAATTTTAAAGGTTTTTATCCCAGAGCTAGAGCATGGATTCATCTAGGCTACACTGCAATCTCATTTTATGTGGAATCTGTGCTCTGATTCATAAACAACAGGGCAGACTTTTAGTGACAGAAAGTTACAGGGAAAAGTCTTTTGGAGGATGTCTGGCAGAATAAGACCTCGCTAAATAGGGAATATTCAACTTCTCTTTCTTTCCCAGTATAGGAATTATTCCTCTCCTAATTTGAGCCTGGTTAAATGGGTTTTGCTTTGGATCCAGATAGCCTGCCAAAAACTGACTACTGTTTCATAAACCTGTCTCACTGAATGAAGTACATTCCACATTGTTTGCTCTTTTTTTCTCACACAGTGTATGGGCTAATTCTGCTGAATCACGACTGGAAGAAGATTTGATTATTGTGAAGGATGGCAGAGAACAAGAAGAGTAAAGAAAATGAACATGAGAAAGGTAAGAGCATGAATTTATACATGTCTGTTTCTAACATAAGAAATGATGAGTTAAACAAGAATTCTCAGTTAAGCAGCAGTAGCTGAATTAGCACAGGCTAATCTGTGAACTTGTGAATGAAAGATGCAGCAAATTCTTTCAGATTAGTTACTTCACTACCACTTCAGGACAGTTAGAGCCTCCCAGAAACAGTCACCACTTTTTATATGGCTGACAAATAACTCCCTCAGTTTGGCAAAATAGCAGTGAAAAGGTGTCAGATGGGTTTTTTCAGACTTGGTATGAAGTCATTTCTGTGTAACATGAAGAATCATCTT